CTATGTACATAATTGTGGTACTGAGTTTTGTGGGGATTCATGACCAGAAATGGAAAATCTGCACATGCTTAATGCAGAGGCCATCTTTTAACACTTATTTTGGCTCAAGACTGGATGATACAGAGAACCAAGGATAAAAGCTACCAGGGAAATCAGAAGCCGGAGGGAAAAATATGAATTTTTCACCCTTGCAAGGAAAGCTGGCCGCTTGTATACAGGAAGAATTAGATGGGTCTCCTCAGGCGTCACATGCCTGGGGAATGTGGGCAGGTTAAATATAAATGATTCAACATACATGTGAGGGCTGAAACTGCCCCATGAATTAAACATGTGCAGAGTACCTCTGTGATCTCCAGGTAGAGGTGGGACTGGTTAAGGTCTTTTACAAAACATAACCCTCAGGACCACTTGCTGTTGGGTTTGCCTGCGTCAGAATTAGAGTGGACTCCCAGACAAGAGCAGATGTCAGGCTGTGATGCATTTTCAGCAGGACTGTGGCAGGGACTGCTCTCTGGAGCACAAGAGAGACTCAGAAACCAATTAGGGCTGCTTGCAGAACACGATGGGCCCTTCGAAGGAGAAAAGCTGCTAGGCCAGCCAGCGGGTGAAGAGACGCTGTATTCCAGTGGTGATCTGGGGTGAAAACGCAAAGATAATAATGAAATAGCAGTTTTGTAAAGAAAAACCTAGCTGGTAACACAAGTACGGGAGAGAAGTGAGGAAGGCAGGTCAGTGCTTTGCTCTTGGGGTCCCACGGGGACAGCTGGTCTGTGTGTCTTTCCTTCTCAGTGCTGAGTATGAACCCAGGGCCTAATGCATGCCAGGCAGTGCTCTGCCCACCCAGCCTGCGTGGCTCTCGCCTCTGCAGCCTCCCTTTTTCCTACACATGCAAGGGGAGGCCTGGGCCCGTAAAGGGGACCCCAGAGAGGCTCCTCTCTGTCTGCAGCTTGGTGCAGGCGGGTGACGGTTCCCATGTGTTTGCCCCGGGGCACCAGTGATAACGGAAAGATGCAGAACATGGAATTTGTGAACTTGTCGAAATCCCCGAAGCACACACTGCAACAAGCTATGCGGACAGATTTGTAAGGCATATTGTTGAATGAAAAAAGTAAGAAACAGGAGCTGCAGAGCACAACAAAACATACTTACAGCGGAAGCCACGCTTACACACAGAAACAAGAGCTCTGCCTGTCGCAGCACACATCCAAGAGTGCAGACGAAGCCTGCAGGTGGGCTCCCTGGGGCCTGGGTTTGCACAATTCAGTGTTCTAGGTGCTTGATAATTATATGCCAGGAAATAGGGGTAAGAGGAGCAAACCCACCTGTCTGAAACCAAGAGGCATCCTGAAAAACTACAGGAAAGAGGCAACTGAAGATGGGGAGTAGCTGGCTCCAGAGGTCGTGGGGACAGCCCCCAGGAGGCGCTTTGTCCTCCCAGGTCCTTATGTCACACTCGGGGACAATGGGGTCCTCCCAAAGCTCAAGGCCTGCAGTCCTACACTGAGGACCGCAGCGACTGTCTGGCTCTGAGCACAGACAGGACACTGTCCAGCCCGGGTGACTGTGGTGGGAATCCAGGGCTGGGCTGGGGTCCCTTGGACATGGGCTGTTGTCCTGCCTGGCTCAGATGCAGCCTGCCACTGGCTTCTCTGTAATTCAGGAGTTCTACGACTTGATAATGGGCTGGAGAGAACAGAAGGTTCTGACAAGCTTTCGCCCGATCCTCAATCTCTTGAAGTGGGCCATTACCGAAGACACTCGCGAAAGCTCATGTCCAAGAGAATGCGTCGCGGTGACAGCCGCCCACCAGCTCTCAGGAGGTGGCTGTCAGATCCCCGCAATCTCTGGACATGAAAAAGAGGCTTCGTGAGCATCCGCGGTAATGGAATCCGTCACACCCGCGGGCCGAGGCGCGGACTAGGGCACTTGAGGATGGCATTTGGGGCGGGTGATGGCTCAGGTCCTCCCACCCGGACTGCGATAGTTTAATTTTCTGGGAAAATTGGCATCATCATGATGAATACTTGGCTGATTTCAGGGCAGATTAATGCCTCTGAGATGAAGTGTGCTCCCATTTAGCTCTCGCTGTGTCCTGCTGAGAGCCTGTCCTGATTAAGCCTTAGGTCCTGTTCTGGCCCACCACCTCTAGCCCTGGGGACCCAAAGGTGGGGGGGATGTTCTTTGAATTTTATCACCTTTGTTCTTGCTTTTCAAATGTTCTATGTTTGACTTTCATGCCTCATTAGGGGATGAATCCTGTCCCTCCTGAGGGTCCTGGGAGCTCAGGATGTCACCGTGCCTAGGTGTGGGGTCTTTGGAGGGTGACGAAGCTGAGGTGAAGTCCCACTGTCCCTCAGTCCTCCTGGCCTAGGTCCTTGTGCACACACGCGCAGGGGGGAGGCCCCAGGGAGCCACGGGGCAGGCGGCAGTTGCCCAGCCTTGAAAGAAGCCAGCCTTGTAGACACCTTGACCTTGGACTTCTGGCCTCTGGGTCTATGGGAAATAAAGGCCTCTGGGGGGGCCCCAGTCTCAGTGCTGCAATGTGATCTGGACTGGGCTTTTGGGACCACTGCAGGATTTCTGGGCTGCACCTGTTTTCCAGTGCAGGCCCAGAAGCTTGTCCCTGGTCCTTCTGTAGGTGTCCTGTCCTGCAGGGTAGGTTGCTGATCAGTTGCTGGCCCGTGTCTGCACTCCTGTGTGCCATGCCCTGTTTGCTCTGTGCTGCTCTGTACTCCAGTGCATCCACTGAGAAGATTGACCATGCTTGGGACTGGTGAAGACTGAATTTCCCAAAACAAGAGCAACAGAGAAGGGGTCCCAGAGTGGCCTGTGACAAACCCTCTTGGGAACATGTCTCTTTGCCCGTGGGGAGCCTGGTGTCGGATGGTCGCTCACAGCTGCGGGGAAACGCTGCGTCCAGGTCTGGCTCCCACCAGACCTTGGCGCCATGGGGACAGACGGACGCCGAGGAGCCAAGCCCATAAAGCCAGCTGCCAGCCTGTTCATGTCCCATCCTGCAGCCAGGACTCTTGTGTGGGCAGGACCCCTGTGCTTGCTGCGGCTGGACGTCGTGGGAAGGTGAGTCAGGACCGAGCGTCCCCCTGGCACGGAATCAGGGCCAAGATGGCAAACTCTGTGGCCGCTTGTTTACTGGCATCCAACGGAAATAACTCAATGAGCCATTGCACAACAGTCAGGCCTGCCAGCGTGGCAGGGGGGAGGTGCCCGGACATTGGTCCCTGCTGACCATAGTGCCTGGGGCTCAGTCTCCCCTCTGCGTCCTCCTCTTCCATGACAGTGGCCCTCTGATGGTTGTCCTGACCAACCTGCCGGAGCCAGGCATCTCCGTAATGAGCTGTGGCTCCCAGGCCTCCTGCTCCGGTCTCTGCCTGCCCTCCCCGAGGCAGCCTCACTGCCCTGTTTCTGTGTCTGGTGCTCTGGGCTCCCCTGGGCAGATGTGAGCGTGAGATAAGCAAGCTGGTCTGAATCCAGAGCTCTGAATCATGGACACAGGTTGGGCTCCCCTAGGACCCCGTCTTCCTCACTTGTCCATAGCAGTGGGTGGCTGTGCCCTGGACATGGGCAGCCCTGGAAAAGCCCCGAGTGCACAGCTGGTGCAGCTGGAGGGTCTGGGACGATTGAGATTAGTTCTGGGCCCTCATCCCTTCCACCACCGAGCTCGGGAGGGACAGCACGTGGCCCCTGTTGGGGGAAGCTCTGCTGCTCTGCTCTGCTCTGCAGAGCAGGCTGATGGTAGCCACTGGGAAGGGGCCAGGATCTGGGGATGGAGAGAGCTGGGTAGTGGCTACAGGGGCAGAGGGTCCCCAGTGCTGCATGACAGATGATCACTGTGGACAGGTCCCCTGCAGACCATGTCCCTGGCTTTGTCCAGAAGTGGAAACGGAGGCAGTAAGCGAGACAGGCCAACACTCCATGCATAGAAGTAGAGAGGGCTCCTTGTCCGTCGTCCTTCTGCCCAGGGGATCTGCCTGTCATCCTGGCAGGGCTTCCTGCCACTGAGAGGATGTAGGGACAAGGAGGGACACATTCTCACTCTCATTCTTAATTCTGCCTCCCACCTCCTTCACATGCCTGGGCTCGTCCTCATCTCTGAGGTGACTTCCCCCCCTGTCTACCTGCCAGGGGCTACCATGCCACTTCCTTCCCAAGGCCTACCTTTGGGGGCAGGCAGAGAGATGACCCAGGGTCAGCTGCTTCCTGGGGCCCTTGTCTGTCCAGGAACACGGGCTGGGAGAAGAGCTGGGCGGGACTCGGGGTAAGCCTTCTGCATCAGCCTCTCCCAGTGCGGCAGTCCCCAGAGCCCAGCTGACAGTGGTAGCACTTGAGGTCTGCTTTGTGCTTGGGCCCTCTGCAGCCTCCTCTGACCTTGGGCTGTGGGGAGTCAGCTGTGGCGCCCCAGGGTGCTCTGGGCAGCCAGTCTGCCCACTTGGTAACACTTCCTGCTTCCTGAAAGACTGTGTGCATTGCACCTCAAGGTGGAGCCGGGCAAGCCTGCCCTGGTGCCCAGCACACGCATTGCACTACAGGTGCTCAGCCAGGTGCCCAGCCAGGTGCCCAGCCAGGGCTGGGTCCTCGCAGCCTGAGGCCTGCACCTGGCCAGGCCCTGCAGAGAGGAGGAGGGGTGACCGGTCCCCTCCCACACGGCCTGTCTGGAAGTCTCCCAGCTGCCAGTTACTGTGACCAGGGCATGGAGTCCCTTGTGCCCAAGGACAGGGCATGGTGGGGGGCTCCCTAGACGGAGAGGAGGCCAGCACTTCTGATCCAGCCTCCTGCTTTGCTCTGTGGTTATGCAAAGCATGGCTTTAAAGAGAACTTATTTTTCCAAATTTCAGAACAAAGAACACAATGTTTAGGAAGAAAGCACACTGCTTACATTTGAAAAAAATTAGCAGCATTATATAATGAAAGACACTTTCAAGTGTTGACTCACCCCGGGCTGACATACATCTTTGACTGGCTTGTGAGATACTCATAAAATTACATCCTGTTAATTTAAGGCTTCTTATGCTAATTTTCCGTCAATTTTATTTGCCTAAGAAATTTATTGGTGGCCTCCAGGGTAACAGCTGGGCTTGGTCCAAAGATGAGGGATCCTTGCTAAAAACACCATGCGAAGAGGAGAAGAGAGCTTGGAGTCAGGGCCGGAGGACGGGAGGGCAGAGTTAGCGGGGGTTGCTGGCCAGGACTCCTGGATCTGAGGCCCTGCAGAGGACAGGGCAGCTGGGTTGGGCAGCTCCCCTGCAGGGAGTCTGGTAAAGGTTTCCTGAAGCCTCCGCTGCTGGATGCACTCGATTTACTGTGGCCAGGAGGAGGCTGCTCCGGAGAAGAGTGTCGGGGCGATGTGTGAATTTATAGAACAGCAGGAGGAGGCCGCTTGTGTAAGCTGGCGTCCATCTCTTTGGGCAGAGGCCTGAATTTCTGTTTGGGGTCTGGGCTGGGCTGCATGCACAGGTGAGCTCCTGGTGCTGTCTGACCCTGGCTTATTGTCTTTGTTGTTGCTGCCGTGAATTCCCTGGAAGGAACCCCAGATTTGACTCCATGTTTGTGCTTTGCATCATGACCCACAGACCCCGTAGGCCACAGTCCTGCCCATGGGGAGAGGGTGGCTACTCCAACTGGACCCTCTGTGGCTGTGTCAGTGCCAGCCACCTCTACCAGGTCCAGGCTGCTCCTGTCCTCTTGGGTGAACCCTCACGGTTGCACAAAGCCCTGTGTGGCCCTCAGTGGCTCTTTCTCATCTTTCTATGTTCTCCAGTTCCCTTTCTGTCCACTGCTGGCCTCTTCCCCCACGGGCCGGGCCTGTGCTCCAGATGCCCAGGTTTGGGGACCTGCTCCACCTGTCCATGGAGAGCCCAAGTGTCCCTGCTGGGTGGCCCGGGTCACTGTGGCTCCTGTCTGCTTTGTCCCCTCCCTCAACCCTCAGTATTCCCGCCTGGGCTCGCGCTGGCCTTTGCTTTAGGGAGCTGGTATGTCTGGTGTTTGTATTCTGTCCCCTCTTGGGCTTCTGTATGTCTGCCTATCTGCTCCTTTTCCTGAGCTGCTGCTCTGCACTGAGTTCTTTTCCTTGTCCTTTTGCTGTTTAGGCAGCCCAGGCTGGCTTTGAACTCACGATGACCCTATTGCCTCAGCCTCCCAAATGCTAGAAGCACCGGCGTTTGCCACCATAACCAACTGTGCCAGATTCTGAGGCCCATGAGTGTACAGAGGATAACAGGACTTGAACCCAGACCTCAAAGGATTGGCCTGCAGATGGGGAAACTGAGGGCTGGAGCTGGGAGGAGACTCGTCCCTGATAGACCGACCCTGTCCTGCAGAGAGCCGGCCTCATCCAGATTTCAGGTCTAGAGGGGCGCACGGGGCCGATCCCTGAGGCACAAAGCACCGCTGGGCAGCTGACGTCTGGGCAATGGAGGGAAAGTCGATAGCCCCTGTGGGGTGTGGAGTCAGTGCCCACTCCATCCAGGGGATGCAGGTGGTGCGGATTGGAGTTGGAGAACTCACCTGGCCCTTGGGGTAAGGCGGTCGCATCCTACTTGTGCCATGGTCGTGGGTGTCCTGGCAGAGATGGGGGGACTGGAGGTCCTGGAAACATGAGGTGGGGTGGGGGGCTACAGGGGAGCCTGAGGGAGGGAGAGTGGGAGGGGATGGAGCTGGGAGGTTAGGAGCTGAGAGCACACCTGGGAGACCATGTGGGCGGCCACCCGGGGAAGTCACTAGTTGACGTGTGCCCTGGTGCAGCCGTGAGGGCAATAGTCTGGGCTCCTCTCCAGGTGTGGATGGAAGCCGCTCCAGGGACAGCGGGCTTTGGGGGCCTACAGTGGGTAGTAGTACCCATGTCACCTGAGACAGAGCACAGGAGGAGGCAGGAGGCCTGTAATCCCAACACCCTGGGAGGCTGAAGCAGGAAGGCCTCAAGTTCAAGGCTAGTGTGAGCAACTTACTTGTCTGAGAACTTGTCTCAAAATAAAGAAGTAAAAAATAAAGAAAGATGTCTGGGGAACAGCTCAGTGAAGGCCCTTGTTCAATTCCTTGTACTGTAAACAACAACAACAGCAAAAGCAAAGCAAAAAACCAAGAGTCAGTCAAAAGGGATCAAAGGTTTACCAGTAACTACAAAATATTCAGGAAAGAAAATGCAAGGGACCATCTTTGGGACCTAAGAGCCTGGTGAAGAGTTCTTAGAGGTGGCATCAAAAGCACAATTCCTGAAAGAAAACATAGGCCAAAAGTAAGAACCTTCACGCTGTGCAGAGTTCAGAGAAGAGGAGCGACCGGTGGCCGGAAGTCCCCTCGAGGGTGGTGTGCGCAGCCCGTCTGGGACACGCGGGGGTGTGGCCAGCGCGGAGCAGTCCTGTCCCCTGTGTGCAGCTCAGTGAGGGCTGGGGGAAGACGAGACATGTCCATGGGGCAACGGAACTGAACTGAACGGCATGGCGGCTGGGGATGGGTCCAGCTGGGAGAGAACCCCCATCCACTCCTGCAGAGCAGGGCAGAGTGGACCAAAGCAAAAGGAAACCTTGTCCTCACAGCCAAGGCTGGCTGGACACAGAGAAGCTGACGTCCCCTGTGTGACCCGTGGGCCTGGGGAACTACTCTGGAAAAGTTTGGCAGTTTCTTTTAAAAACCAGCTTTGCATTTGACCTAGCAGTTACACTCCTGGGAATTATTCCCAGGGGAACAAAGTCTTCTGTTTCACCCCAAATGTGTGCATATGAGTTCATGGTAGTTTCCTGGGCGGTGTCCCGAGACTAGAAACCCAGGGGCCGCCCGGGGTGAGTGATTAACCACGGTGCATCCACATGTTGGAATACCAGTCAGCCGTGAAAAGGATGCATTGTGGGTGTTTGGGAAACAAATGGATCTCAGGAACGCTGGGCACGAGGGAAGGCCAGTCTTGGACAGTTCTGTGTAACTGTGTAACCCAAAATTACAGAAGCAGAGTATTTGTTGCTAGGGTTAGTGGTTAAATGGGAGACCCTGGGAGCAGGAAACCTCTCTGCATTATCATGCGGTGGTTACCCATGTGACAAAACTGTGTGGAACGAAACACACGAAACACACACACGTGCACACACATAGGATGTGTGCCTTGTAGACCAAATGTCTGCACTGTCCCAAAACCATCTGCTGAAGCTCCGCCCAGGGGCAGAGCTGGAGGTGGGAGACGCCTGGGCCATGGTGGCTGGTGGCATCCCGGGAGGCACGAGAGAGATGACCTCCCTGTCCCGAGGACACAGAGAGGCAGGGCGCAGCCAGCCAGGGTCTGGGTCTTGGGCGTGCAGGTTGTTTCAGCCACAGGAGCCCCGAGGGCTGCAGAGCAGGCTAGAACTGATGGCAGCCAGGGCGGTGGCAAGGGAGGTCTGCGGTCTCCGCGTGGCCGCCACACGGCTGCTTTACCGGATGCTGCTGTGGGGACGGCGGTGTGTGGAGCGCGGAGCTGCTCCACGCTGTGAGCAGAGGAGGAAGTGTGGGGACAGAGGCCAGGGGCGCCCAGGTGGTCCCGGGAGGGAGGAGCTGCAGACGTCTCTGGAGGGCAGGTCTCGGTCCACAGTCTCTGCAGAGCAGCCAGGCCAGGCTCTGTGGGGTGAACGGCAGCAGGAGGAGGGGTGGCCGGGAGCAGGGGCGGCAGGCAGTGGATATGCGTGCGTGCGTGGCTGGTGGCTGCAAGGGGCAGGTGGGAACCTGCGGGATCCCCACGGCCTTGGGAAACCCTGCCCAGCAGAGCTGCACCCTGCACACCTGCAGAACCAGGGTGCGGTGGGGTGGGGGTGGGGCCTTCCGGCCTTCTCGGAACCCAACCTGGGCTTCCCGGCAGAAAGAAGTAACTCAACAATCTTGCTTTGCACATTAGGAGCTGTGCACAGCCCACTCCTCCCAAGTTACATGAGGACACAATTTATCTTTAGCCCGAAGCCACCTGCTTGGTAATCTGTCTCAGTGTACCCGATTGATCCCGCCAGCCTGCCATCGGCTGCAAAAGCGGCCGGCGTTATTTAAAGCAGTCAGCCGCGCGGACAGCCTGGCCAGGACGGGGCGTCCAGCGTGGGCCCGCACGCAGGGCGGTGGCCCTCAGGCCCCCAGGTCCCGAAGGGTCCGGCACCCGCCCCAGCACCGGTACCGGTGCCAGAAGGCAGCATCTGAGCCCCAGAGGCAGAGCTGCACCCAGATTGTTGATGAGAATTTTGTCCCGGGTGGTCACTAAAGCCACCCTTTGTGTTGGCAGTGGGCTGTCTCGCAGGCAGACTTGAATGGATGTACCAGAAAGCACGAATTCTCTTCCTGCCCTGGGAGGACGTGGAAGCAGAGCGGAGACGTGCTTCAGGCCCCTGCGCTGAGTCGCTCTAAACTCTCCTGAGGGTCCCCCCACAGGGTGTCACCCACTTCATCTGCCTGGATCTCTGGCCGCTCTCCCCTCCCGTCCCTCCCCCACTCCGGGACACATGGAACCCACACAGGGGTCAGGGCTGGCTAGAACACCCGTGGCCAGATGGTCTGAGTTAGAGGAGATGTGAACACGGATGCACTGAAGCCCCTGAATGATATACTTGAAAAGGGTTTGCGTGCGCTTACTGCTTGGCAGCCCCGAGGAGCCACCAAACAGCACGAGTGGGGCGGGCCGGAGCTGGGTCAGGCAGAGCTGCTTGGGAAGCCACTGCAGGAGGGCCAGCCGGGGTGAGGGGGTCAGGGCAAGCTGGGCACTGTTGCGTGAAAGCCCGAGCTTCCCTGGGGCCCCCATGCAGTTGGAATAGAGCAAACCAGACGCCCCCAAGAGGTGCTCGGAATTTCACTGCCTTGTTCTTTTGATTTTTTTTTTTTTTTTTTTTGCATTGTGGTAATGGAACATAACAAAAACGTTGCCATTTAAACCATTTAAAGCATATAATTCAGGGGCTTAAATACATTTGCATTGGTGTGCAACCATCTCCACCATCTGGTTCTGAAAGTTTTTCATTATCCAGATGAAAGCCCGTTCTCATTAGCACCGCTCCCCACTCTCCCCTCCCTGCCTGGCAACCAGCAGTCTGCTCTGTCTCTAGGGATTTGCCTAATCTGGACATTTTGTATTAATGGCTTTGTGCAATCTGTGCTCCTTGTGAATGGCTTGCTTTGCTCGGCCCCCTGTTGTCAAGGCTCATCTCCGCTGCAGCCTGTGTCAGAGCTCCATTCCTTTTTATGGCAGAGTAGTATTCCACGGGCGATGGCTAGACAGCATTTGTTTATCCATCCACTGGCCGAGCCGTCTACAGCATTGAGAGGTGGGCTCATCCTCCGAGGGTGTGAGGACATTGGCTACAGGAAGCAGGGACTTTGGGTGACATGGGTGGCTGTACCCCAAGGCTTAGCACAGTAGCTGGCAGGGTGGTGCTCGGCAAATCTCTGTGAAAGGCTGGATGGACGGGTGGACGGGTGGACGGGTGGACGGCCAAGGTCGATGGGAACAACGGCAACGTTTATGATCTGAGCTCCCAAGGCCAGGAGGTGACAGCTGCCAGGCCGCTCCCTGTTGCCACTGCTGGAGGAAAGAACAAAGGCTTCGCTCTGGAGCTGGAGCGGGAAGCCGGGCGGATCCGCTCCCGCCACACATGGGCTTCATTACCGAGGAAGCCGAGTTCCCTTCCGTCCCTGCCGGCACTTGGTGGCTTAAAACAGAGTGACTAACCGCTGCTCGGTCTCGAAGGCCGAAGTCTGACACGAGTGTCACAGAACCGAGAGGCTGTGAGCAGAGCTGAGTCCCCCGCCCCGGGCTCTCGGGGGGGCTCCGTGCCCCACCTCTTCCAGCCTCTAGAGCTGCCTGGAGGCCTTGGCCTCGGGCGTTTTCATATTCAAAGCCCACGAGGACGAGCATCTCTCCAGCCTTTCTTCCACCTGCAGCTTCCTTTCTTTTCTTTTTCAATTCTTTCATTCTTCCTTTTTTGTTTTATTTTGTTTTGGTTTTTTGTTTTGTGAGACAGCGTCTCACTATGCAGTCCAGACTGGCCTTGCACTTACTGTGTAGCTCAGACTGGCCGTGAGCTCGAAATGATCCTCCTGCATCAGCCTCCCAAGTGCGGGGCTGCAGGGATGCACCACCACACCTGGCCCATACATCTCTCCAGCTCCTCTGTCATGCCCACAGGATTTGAGTGGAAAACAAATACTTCAGGACATTTAAAAAATCCAATGAGTCTCACATATTTTGAATCAGTCTTTTTAGGCCTCTGGGACATGTAATTAATGTAGCTACTCACTTAAAAATTAAGTAAAAAAAGTGGGGGATCGGGGTGCACGGTGTGTCAGCGAGGCCACAAGGGCTTGTCCTTTGCCTTCAGGAAGCACCTTTCCAGAGAGGCAGCTGCAGAAGCGGCAACCTGCAGCCCTTGGATGACTGAGACAGAGCCCCCGTCTCCCTGTGTTCATGGCTGAGCTGCTTCTGCACTGTGAGCAGCCAGCAGATGCGGGTTACTGCTGCTCTCTGTCCAGGACAGGGCTGAGATGCTCCTGGGGATCGCTGAGCTCCCAGCCTGGAGCCTGACTCCCCTCGTCAATGTAGGCCTCTCCTGTGGGCCTCACAGACCCGCCTGGGAGGACTCAGTTCTGAGCAGACCCATGCCCACTGGTAGTCCAAAAGGTGTCTTTCAAAGGGTGGAGCACCCCGTGGCAAGGCTAGGCTGTTCGAGCGGGGTCACGGGCCTGGTTGTCTGCCTAGGACTCTCTGCGTACCCAGCTGGTTGGCACCTGAGGAAGAGCCAGGGGCAGCAGTGCCAGGGTCACAAGCACGTGTGCCTCCTGCTAAGCCTGGTGAACATAGATAGGAGGCAGGTGGGGTGAGCCGGGGCTCGCAGGTACAGAGAATGGGGGTCCCATCAGCAGAGGGGCTGCATAGCTGCCACAAGGGGTCTTCATGCTGTGAGCCTGGCGTGGGTGTCCCACACCTCTTTCCCCAGGTGAGCGTCCCTGCCTTCCTGTACTGGGCTGGGACAGACTCAGTGGCTGAGTGGGTGCTTGTCATGCATGAATCCATGGGCTCCGTGCACTCAGAAAGAAAGTGAAAAAGGTGTGTGTGTGGGGGGGGAAGGACGGAAGGAAGGAAGGAAGGAAGGAAGGAAGGAAGGAAGGAAGGAAGGAAACCAAGCATCTGGCCAGCAGCTCAAGGATAAGAAGCAGACGAGTTTTCGCTGCCCTCCTGAACTTGGTCTAAGCAGAACCCCGTGGGCAGGTGCTGTGTGGAGTCCACGATGGCAGCCTTTGCTCACTGATTTCTTTATTCATCCTCAAGGGCTTCTTGCAGGCAGCTGGTGCAGCACAGCCAGTGGGTGCTCGCCGAGGACGAGGTCCCTCCAGGCAGTTAAAATGTCAGGGAAAATGTCAAATGCCGCCCGCAGAGGGGTGCGCAGACATAGACCTTTTGAATCGCTGTGGAAACAGTTCATTTGTGGAGAACAGACAGTCCGGCTGAAGTCGCGTATGTGAAACTTTATAGTGGACACCCCAGGGGCAGAGGCGGTCTGCGGAGGTGTTTCTCCTTGAATGCACTGACCGTGCATTGCACATCTGTTAGGGCCCAGAAGTGGGGTTTCTCAAAGGATGCAGGTGCAGGCGGCATAGCGCTGGGTCTAGAAAGCTCATGTGTAGTTGGGAAGGAAAAAGATCATGGTGTGAG